GGAACCCTTTTCTATAGGCATAAACCCCTGTAGTTACCCTTTTCAGCATGATCCACCCCTTAACTGGTAGTTGTAGCTGTTCCCAACCATAATAGCTTACACACCAGGTGCATATAGTTTAAGGCCTTATGTAAAATCCCCTTCATAAGCCCACCTTAAACCACATAATTGCATGACACATTGAACCAGAACGGCACAGGCTGGACGTCGCTGGAGACAACCTTCGCTGGAGGCGACCTGCAATCCTGACGTTGGTCTCCACTCTTCATCCAGTGGCCGCTTCTTCAGTTCAACCCAAGGGTACCCCTCTGTATGCTGATTAATCAACACTTCATCCACGGTTGTGGATTTACCGTTGTGGATTATATGACTTTTTCCAATGGATTACAGACTCTGTTTCCAAGGGGTTAAAGCATTGCTACAATGGAATTATCGAGACGATATGGAATTATAATCAACACAATGGAATTATCAAGAACATTGTGGAATTACCTTGACTTTGTTTCCTTGCTGGATTACTTCTGACTTTGGTCTTCCTTGCTGGATTACTTTTGACTTTGGTCTTCCTTGCTGGATTACATCAAGCTCAAGGACATTTGAAGGTCTAAGTTCACGGTTGGAATTCATCCCCATGGACAGGCGATGATTTCCAAAGGGGGGACTGTAGTGAACCTGATCTGACCTCAAATCTGATCAGATGAACAGAGACTGTTATTTCATTGATCTGCATCCAGAAATACAGTTTGAGCCATCTGGTGACTTTCTTTCTTGAATCAATCAAGTAGAAAAGACAATTCTCTATGATCATTACTATTTTACAAATGTTTGATAATCAAATTGTGTTAGTTCACTAAGAGAACTACTCATTTTTATTTTACATAAACAGTAAGTAATGATTTTTCTTCCTCATTCAAAGAAGAAATCAGGTTAATATGCATTTCTTGATTTTCTGTCTTTTATGAGCAAGTTTGTAAGTATGTTAAAGGTCGAGTCTCGGTCAACTAAAATGTTTACTGAGAAGAAATGTCATGTTTAAACTTTTTCAGAAGATAATAAGAGTTTGACTCCACGAAGTCTGCTTTTTCTCCAATAATCTTTTCTGTATGTTGTAAACAATCTCATTCTCTGACCTCGAATTTGATAACATCTTACATCACAAACCACACCTCTATTCTGGTCTATCCACGAATCAGAAAGCTCTAAATTGACCCGGAAGTCAACTCATTTAAAATGTGGCAACTTCCCGGTTCTTGCTAGAGTGCTGCAGAGTGCTGCAGAGTGCACAGAGTCTGATGTCGGAAGTCTGATAGAGAGTGAAAGGAGATGAAAGGAGTTCAGAGTTCTTGGATGCAAACGCGTTCAGGATGATCCAGAGACGTTTTGGGATTATAACTTCTGTTTGAACAACCTCGTACGACTCTCTAAGGGTTTGGCAGTTCTCACGGAGACGCTGAAAGAGTCAGAAAGGAACCCTACGCCGACGCTGATTTTATCGTCAACCAGGTAGAAGGTTCTATTTTCGACCAAGTGTACCGTGGGCAAGCTGAGATCTGAAGGAGCGTGCACGTTTCTGGTCAAACAGATTAATTCCCTCACAAATCTCTCTGTAAGATAAATCTCCATTTCCATCTTAAACTCTGCTTTCTCCTAAAATCAGTACAGATATCTTAGAAATATCTGAAGCAAAGTCCTCAATCACCGCCGTGTGATTGAAGTCCATTATCTGTGAAACTTGTCTGTTATTATTTTCATATTTTGCCAAATTAATGTAAATGTTTGATGTTAAACTTTGATTCTGAAAATAAATGACCGCATTCATTTGATGGGTCAAAGATAAATAACGTCTCTCGTTACATTTCTGTTAAATTCAATGCACGACATTTACACAGTCAGAAAGATGAGGAACTCGTGAAAAAAGTATGAATATATCCAGCATATGACATACTACAGGACTAAACAGTGCTACTCCATCCTCCATGAGCTATCAGTTTGGTAACATACAATTGACCTTTATAAAAATAAACCATGATTGTTTTTATCAAATATTACCACTAAATAATTTTTTGCTAATGGCAACAAAGCAAACTTTAGTAAGCCCTTTTTTAACAAGCTGAGATCATTTCTTGAGGTCTCATTAAAACTTTTCTTTGTCATAATCCCACAGAAATCTTGTGCAACACTTTCACTTCCCACCATGTCTTGAGAGCTCTGTTTAAAGCAGAAGATTTGAGGATGTTGGCATGAGACGCATGACTTCAGTCCACAGCCTTCTGCTTTCCGCACTTCTACTGAGCTCACAATCTTCAATAAACATTAATTTTACATGGGAGAACATCCAGCATCAGCTCACAATGGCTGATGTTCTAGTTTATATACTAAAAAACTGCCATACATTTTATTTGTCTGCGGTTTAACACTTATTGGAGTGGCTGTGCATGAATTTGTGCTGGATTTGGAAACATGCTGCACTACAAATGGCACAACCAAACCAAACCAAACCTTGACCCCTCAGTCATATCCAACTTCCGACCTTTCTCCAGACTCCCATTTGTTTCTAAACTACTGGAGAAAATAGTTGAGTCCCAGTTAAAGTGCTTCCTGGAGGGTCACGCTATCTTGGAGCTATTCCAATCTGGCTTTAAACCTCTCCACAGCACTGAAACTGCCCTACTGAAGGTTTTTAATGATGTTTTCTTATCCACAGATACTGGTGATTCGGTGCTGCTTGTCCTATTGGACCTCATAGCTACCTTTGACACCATCGACCATGAGATCCTCATTGCTAGGTTGGAGCAGTGGGTGGGCATCACAGTGTCAGCCCTCAATTGGTTCAGATCCTACCTCGCTGAGAGATCCTTTTGTGCCTCCATCAAGGATTTTAGTTTTGCAGCGGCAGAGCTTAAATGGGGGGTTCCGCAGGGGTCCATCCTGGGTCCCCTCCTATTCTCTTTATATCTGCTGCCACTTGGTGCTATTTTCTGGAAACACAACATACCCTTTCACTTCTACGTCGATGACTGTCAAATTTACTTCCCCCCTAAGACACAATGGTACATGCTCTATTCAACCTCTGCTTGACTGCCTGGCTGACATCAGGGACTGGATGGCTTTAAACTTCTTAAGTTTCAATGAAAAGAAGTCTGAAGTCATGTTGTTCCCTCCCAACGACACGATCACAAACCAATGCATTGACCTTTCCGCTTTAACCCTGTCAGAAAAACAAAGAGTCACTAATCTGGGCGTGATAATGGACCCTTTCCTGAAACTTAACAATCATGTAAATTAGATTTTTAAATCATGCTTCTTCCAACTGAGGCGGCTGTCTAAACTGAAGCCCATATTGTCCATAAATAACCTGGAGACAGTAATACATGCATTCATTACATCTAGGCTTGATTACTGCAATTCGCTCCTGTTTGGCATCAGTCAGACCTCCATTGCACGACTACAACTGGTCCAGAATTCAGCAGCCCAATTTTAACCAGTACAGGCAAAAGAGAGCACATTACACCAGTTTTGGCCTCACTGCACTGGCTACCGGTTCACCTTCGAATCCAGTTCAAAATACTCCTGTATGTCTACAAATCGCTGAACGGTCCCCCCCATCTCTCTGATCTGCTACAACTGTATGTCCCACCACGTTCCCTGAGGTCAGCAGACCAGTTGCTCCTCACAGTTCCAGGAACTCGTCTTAAGTGCAGAGGGGACAGGGCCTTCTCTGTAGCAGGACCAAGACTTTGGAACGAGTTACCTCTGCTTGCCAGACAGGCCCCCTCCCTCTCGGTTTTCAAGTCCCGTTTAAAAACCCACTACTATTCTGGAGCTTTCAACACCAGATGATCTGTGTTTTGAACCTGTATGCTCCACACTGGTTTGTCATCATATTTATTATCTGCATCGTTTTTATGTCTATATTCTGATTTACCTCATTTTGTATATTGCTTTGTGTGTTGTCTGTTTTTCTGGCTGTACAGCACTTTGGTTGGCCTTGTCGCTGTTTTAAGTGCTCTATAAATAAAATGGTATGGTATGGTGCAAATAGGACTGCTAAAATAACAGAAATATTGTAATGCATCTGTATGAGCTCAACAACTCGTTGCTTCATTGCCAGTCGGTTGTTGGTCCAAATGACATGATTGAACTTTTTTTTGTTATCTACCTGGATGATTGAGCCTACAAACCTTTTGTGTGTGTGTGTGTGTGTGTGTGTGTGTGTGTGTGTGTTTTACTTGAGTTTTTATAAACCTTTATGTTGAGATCTATTGTTCACATGTAATATATGCTTACAGATTTATTCTTGTGTTGGTGGTTTGTGGAACTATGGTGCATTTACTACTAAAAGATGATATATGTGTTGCGACCAGCAATAACACATGAAACAGTCTTAATTTCCATCTTCATACATTCATTCATCAATTTGAAAAAAGTCAGAAAGGAGTTAAATTTCCTACTAATTTAATAAAAGAATGCAACTAAATACACACAGTTTCTTTTTTATATAAGCTATATCAGCTGCTAAAAATTTACCGTCAAAACAAAAACGTAGTTTTATTTTAAGGTGTGTGCAACAAAACTGAAAATTGCATCACGTTAATTTAAATAAGGGGTGACTGGATGATTAAAACCCTGAACAACTTGGAAGGTTTGTGGTCACATCTAAACAGTTGTTTGAAATTAAAGAAAACATTTGTTTTATGTAAAAAGTGTATTTAGCTTCTAATATAGGAGACTGGTAGAGTTATTTATGCAGATTAACCAGCACTATGAGTTGTATGCTTTACAAATTTTGCTTTTTTATGGTGTAATGATTTTTTCCAGGATTACGGTACCCTTCTGCTGCCCTTGGGTCAAATGACTCACAAGTTTTTAATTTCAAAACTGAGGCCCGGTGGGTCATTTTGACCCTAGAGCACCTGCAACGTTAGTTCTCGTTTATTTTAATTTCAGATAAAATGCAGAGAAACATCTAAACAATGAAAATAAATCAGAACCCAAGCAGGTTAGCAGCAGACTCATGAATTTGTTTATTTTTAGTGGTCAGTTCGTTCTTTATTCATCACTGGTAGCAGCAGAGTTCCACACAAACGAGAAGAGGTGATTGAGTGCTCTGCTGCCCCCCTGAGGCCTAACATCCCTCCATCAGTCCTCATGGGGTCATCGACTGAAACTTCTCTTCAGTGTTTGTTTTCTCTCTCTCTCTCCTCGATTCTCTTTGGTATTTTTCTAATTTTCTTTTGGAAATGAAACAACCTTTCTCTAAATGGTTTACTTTTCAAGTACCAGAAGATGCTGGAATGACAGAGTGAACGGAGGAAGAAAAGAGAGGAGGACGAGGAGGAGGCAAAGAGCAGGAGGCTGGGAGAGGCGGCTGCAGGCCTCACTGCTGGATCCGACGCAGCGACTGGACCTGGAAGGACTGAGCGTGGGAACCCCACTCTCTGTAATGTTTGTACTCGCCGCCGTGGCGATCGCACTCCATGATGTACTGGTAACCACGGTAACCTGGAAACTGGTAGCACACCCAACTGGAGGAGGAGAGGAGAGCAACTACTGAGACGGACACTACAGGAAGTGAAGATGTTTTACAGCAAAAGCGTTTAGATTTTTAAAAAGACCACAAATGCATAAAGAAAAAGGCATCTTAAAGGGATAGTTTAAACTTTTTGAAATGGGGTACAGTGGTCCCTCGTTACTTTGCGTTTCGTTTATCGGGGACTCGCTCTATCGCGGTTTTTCAAAATAAGATTGGACATGACAACAATTGGCTGATTGATGGATGAGCCGCATGATCTGCATGGAATTTTTATTTAAAATAAATTATTTTAAATTATTTAGCACCTGCTGCACATTTGTGCAGCCCTTACTGCAGGATAAACTTCCTGCTGCAGCTGATCAGCTGTTCTCCGTGCAGAGCAGAGAAGTGGGTGTGGCCAAGAGCGCTTGCAGGTGGCAAAGAGTAGAGGAGGCAAGGAGCAGAAATCATGACCTTCTGTGCTCTTTTAGAGCGTTTAGAGTTTAGAAACATTGTTTAGACTATTGCAAGAGTGTGGGAAGAGGTTATAATGCATTTATATATATATATGTAATAAAAATAAACTGCTACTTACTATTTGTACTACTATTCCTACTTCAATGTGTTTCACTTATCGCAGGTCTTTGGGGTATGGATCCCCCACGATAAACGAGGGACTACTGTATAGTGGAAACCTTTGAACAAATAAAGTTTTACCTGCTGAATTCACATTTTTACAGTTACTAACGTGCATACGTAAAACTGGGCACCACACCCTCAAACGAGGTCTTAATTATTTCTGACTGGCGTTAAACTCTGTTGTTTGCACTATTGTTGTTCAATTAAAGTTGTTTTAAGATTGCATCCTTACGCTTTGGCTTTGCCTAGCCCAGACTAGCCATTAGCTCATCAGTCTAGTCAGAAATAAACTTATTTTCATCAAACTGAGGTCGTTCAAAAAGCGATCTACAACAGATAAGATATTAACTGATCGTAAACTTTCCACAGAGTCCCATTCCAGAAGATCTGAACTGTCCGTTTAAATACTTAGCCACATTCATTTATTCATTTAATCAGTTGTAGTACTGAAATATTGCCTCAAATCTAATGCCAGGTCTAGATTTACAAAACGAACATCACACAGGCAACATGATGGTCATATGGTTTTTACTTTAATTAAAGGAACATTATGTAAAAAACCTCAAATAAAATTACTTTGTAAATGAAAAAGTCATTCTTAAAGTTACAATAAATCTTTACATTAATTTTGTGACTGAGTGAGATATAAAATTGGTCAAGTTTGCAGAAGGCCTCAAACAGCAGCACCGGCCTGTGTTTTATTCACTTGACTCCATTTTTGTTGTTGTGTCGTGTTGTTTTGTTAAAACCCAGCGTGTTTACAGCTTTCACGTATCAGAACCCTGTCATGTGTTGGACCTGTGCATTCGGAGCCTGAGACTTACGCGCCGCTCTGAACCTGCATGGATCCGATCTCGTTGTTGCCCCAGCCCATGGCCTGCAGAGAGGGGTAGTCGTCGTTTATTTCCCACTGGCGTCCCAGGAAGTTCTCCTTCTCAAACAGCACCATCTTGGACTCCTTATGGTTCTGTTTGTACACCAGACAGTCTGAGTCACTCAACACCAAGTATTCTGAAGTCATTTTTTATATATTTAAACATCCAAACTGGATGAAATCCATTAATCCTACTTTTATTCCCAATATCTTGTGTTTTATTTTGAACCCTGAAGATTTTAAATACAAATTACATTCTTCATTCCAAGTAGCAACACTGCCAACATTCGACTGAAAGAGAATTAAAAGTGACTGGAACAGAAAACCTACAGCGGAGCAGATGGGGCGGAAGGACATCATCCTCTCAATGTGGTAGGCGTTGCTGCCGCTCCACGACTCCCAGTGAGGATACTCTCCCCTCTCCAACACAAACTGCTGCCCACAGAAGCTGGAGTGCTCGTATCCTGCCCAGCTGCCGCCAACAAACACAGATAAATGTGCAACAACGTCACAGCATCATGGGGATAAAGAGGACTGATAAAATGTAGCTGAGAAAAGTCTTAACCTGTTAATTTGAAGCAAACAGTTCAGATCAGATGAAGACTGGTTCTGTTGGAGCAGTTATTGTCTTACCTGGTCAGTTGTGGTGAAGAGGGAGCTCAATTAAAAGGCCTTTACTGGTCGATCTATGTTCCAACCTTTACCTGTGGTTATGAGTGAAAGTGCAAGATCCAAGATACAAGCAGCTGAAATGGGCTTCTTTCTCAAGGTGGCTGAGGTCATTCTTAGAGATCAAATGAAGAGCTCCGTCGTTTACAGGGAGCTCGGAGCTGTTGCTCCTCCTCATTGACAGGAGTCAGCTGAGGTAGTTTGAGCATCTGATCAGGATGCCTCCAGGGCATGTCCCACTTGGAGGAGACCCCGGGGCAGACCCAGAACTCTCTGGAGGGATTATGTATTCTGTCTGGCCTGGTGACAACTTGGGATCCCCCAGGAGCGGCAGGGGGAGTGTCTGGGGAGAGGGAGGTCTGGGTTTCCCTCCTGAACATGTTGCCTTCGTGACTCAAACACAGATCAGCGTCAGAAAATGGATGGATGTTTCATAAGGAAGTTGGAGAGTTTCTTCTCTAGTTTAGATGGAAAGCTGCCCCAAACTCCAGCCAAACAACTCCAGTCTACAACTTACCTCCTCTTTATAACAACACGGTCACAACTCAACTCACTGAAGCTTCTCCTCTTCTAAATGTAAAATCATTAAAAATTTGCATTCTCAAATTGATCCTCTGATCGGGGGGGGGGGGGGGGGGGGCTAAAAGGGTGAGCACGCACTCCCACACTCAAAGATATTAACAGTTCACCTTTTTGTAAAGTTCTGAACAATCTTTTTGACTTTAATTTCCAAAGGTCACCTGGACGGTTGCATTTTTTGCTGACATGTTTCGTCCTTCATCCAAAGGACTTCTTCAATCCGAGGAACCACCAACAAACTAATAAATAAATAAATAAATAAATAAAGTGCTATGTGTTGTCATCATTGTATGTTCTCATACAAAGATGAAATTGGCTCTCTGCATTTAACCCATCACACCTGGGATACACCCCGGTGGAGCAGTGGGCTATGTAAGCGCCCGGGGAGCAATTCGGGATTGGGTGTCCTGCTCAGAGACACCACGAGATGTGCAATGACCGGGGATCCCACAATTACCACACTCACATAGTGGGAAAAAAAAAAACAGTTTGCTGGTGATAAGATGGTTTCTGGGGCCCACCCTCTCCCCCGTCAACTCCTTGTCAACAACACAGCTGTTTGTTTGAGACTAACCTGTAAAAATAAAGGTTGAATGAATGTTTGTGGCTCCTCGGATTTGGATGACGGTCGAAACGTCTCAGCAAAAAAAGAAACCGTCCAGATGAGACTGAACATTGTTGGATTTTCTAACTGGATTATTGAGCATGGACTTTGATCTAACGTCTAAAGTTTTGTCATCGACAGGAGATTTATTAAACTCATGTTAAAAAACATATTTTTTAATCTGTCGCCTTATTCTGTGTACGGTTCGTTTGAACTTACGCCCCGCACTCCACCTTGAGGGAGCGGATGTTGTCGATGCTGCACTCCATGACGTTCTGGCAGGCCGAGGTGAACTCCAGACGTTTACCCTGGAAGTTCTCCTGGTCGTACACTGTGATCTGTAGAGGATTAAATTGTGTTCATGCAGGACGTGCACATCTCAGAGATATTGCTGATATAACCAGGGTAGACATAAAAATTAAATATTCTGCCTTTTTTTAAGCAACTGAACTCACCTTCCATGGTCCAAGTGGACTGGGGTTGTTCAGAGCCATGATACTGGGTGTCTCAGGGTGGATTTACTTTCAAAACAGAGAGAATATTCATGTAAACGTTCATAAAAAATAACATGTCTGTGTCTTTTTTAACTGTTTGGAACCAATCCATTTAATAAACTGAGTTTATTAAACAAGTCCAGTCGTTCATCTAATGGCGTCACACATGCTGACTTCATTCTCACACTTCTTTTTTAACGTAATGCGTTTGTGGTCGTCCTGTAGGCGGTCGGTACGTCTGTGCATCCAGGCTATACGTTTATCTGACTCAGCGGAGCGTGAGAAAAGATAAAAGACACAGAAATGTAAATAACAATGGTTCACCCACTGAGGACGGAGATCGAGGGCTTACCTGACCGGCCCCCAAAGAATAGCTGTTCAACGCTCAAAGGGCCTCCACAAAAACGATGTCCCGACCCCCGGAGAGAACGGACCTATTTATACATGCTGGTGCTGAAAAGCGGTTGGGCCTGCGTGTCGGGGCAGGAGTCAGCACATTGCTGTCCGGCTCATTGTTCAGAACTGAGCTGCCGGGCTTTAGTTAGCTGCAGTGGGACTGGATGGAGGGCACCATGCCCAGTGCAGATAAGCAAAACCATCAAGTGATCCGTTTCCCGTGGGCTGGACCGAGTTCTGGTGCAGCCTAGTTCAGGAAACGGATCAACAAAGTTCAACTCTGATGTAAAGAAAAGAAACATTTGGAGTTCAGGTTTGATGTTGAAAAGAGAAATAATAGCATTTTCTGTTTTTAATCTTTATGTGATGTTTATATTTGGTTTCCTAAAAGGGACTTGATACAAAAAGAGAAGCTGCAGATCTTTACGTTAGACAGAGCTCCTCACAGTTCTTCTAATGGTGTCCTGCGTGTGTCACGTCCTCTCACCTCTTCACCCACTTCTAAACACACACGCTCAGTCATGCACTCATGTTGTCATGAAAACACACACACACACTAAACCATCCATCCATTATCTTTACTCATTTCTTCTTTTCAGGTCACGGGGGTCACTGGTGCCCATATAGTCACTGTACGTGAGGCGGGGGACACCCTGGACAGGTCTCCAGTCCATCACAGGGACACATGGAGACAAACGAGACAAACAACCACTCACTCTCACACCTAGAGACAATTTAGAGTTACCAATCAGTCTAACATGCATGAGATTTTCTTTCATTTGTTCTTCTCAATTTGTTTGCATTCTTTTATGATTGTCTGTAGTTGTCATTATTGTCCACTGTTGTCATCATTCTATGTTAAAATCAGGTTTCTCTTGTAAATGAGTCCCCGAGGTTCAAAGGGACTAACCTGTATAAATAAATGTTGACTGAATGAAAAGACAAATTCCATTCAGAAAGGTCCCCAGGGTTCGATCTTACAACCTTCTCGCTGAGAGGCAACAGCTCTGCCAACTGCACCACCATGCCGACCCACTTAGTTTCCAGTTAAAATAAATGTAAATTAAAATAATTCAGTCCAACAACACACATCCTCCCAAAGAATGTTCAGTGTTTGATGGTCATTGTTGTCACAGCAGAGCCACTATTTCGATCCAATAACTGCTGTAAGTTGATATATAAACATTATATATATTGACAGAGTTCAGGACATTTCTGTGATTATATGAACAGTTGGCTGAGGTGGCCATTTTGAATTGGGTTGTCTCCAAAGGTTTATTCATTCATTCATTCAACCTTTATTTAGACAGGTAAATCCCATTGAGCCTTGAGGACTCATTTACAAGAGAGACCTGATTTCAACAAAGAATGACGACAACAATGGACAACAGCAACAACAATAAACAGTTGTAAAAAGGCATACAGATTTTTTTTTTAATCAGTTGCAGCAGAACATTAGTCGATTACTTGAGCACACACACAAAGACACATGCACGCACACAGGCAGTTACATGTTCTCCTGCCTTCTGATGACCTTTGACTCCAGGCTACTTTGCTCTATGAACCCTATCATTAGGTGTTAATTTAATAAATGAAGAAGGCAAACATGAAAAGTAGCCAAGAAGCCAAGATTCGAAAGGATTAAAAATCTAATCTCAGTATTGTAAAAATATGTGATTTACAGTGAAGCAAAATGCATTGAAGGCATGCGAATAATGCAGATTATGTAAATAACTAAACAACACGCAGGTAGTTTATGTATTAAACATGAAACAGTTTTGAATAAGTACAAACCGGATTCCAAAAAAAATGGGAAACTAAACAAATTGTGAATAAAAACTGAATGCAATGATGTGGAGATGGCAAATGTCAATATTTTATTCGTAATATAACATAGATGACAGATCAAAAGTTTAATCTGAGTAAATGTAACATTTTAAAGGAAAAATATGTTGATTCAAAATTTCACAGTGTCAACAAATCCCAAAAAAGTTGGGACAAGTAGCAATAAGTGGCTGGAAAAAAGAAATTGAGCATATACTGTAACGAACAGCTGGAAGACCAATTAACACCAATTAGGTCAATTGACAACATGATTGGGTATAAAAAGAGCTTCTCAGAGTGTCAGTGTCTCTCAGAAGCCAAGATGGTACGAGGATCACAATTTCCACCATTGTTGTGCAGAAAGATAGTGCAGCAATACCAGAATGGTGTTACCCAGCGTAAAATAGAAAAGACTTTTAAGTTATCATCATCAACCGTGCATAACATCATCAAAAGATTCAGAGAATCTGGAACAATCGCTGTGTGTAAGGGTCAAGGCCGTAAAACTCTACTGGATGCTCGTGATCTCCGGGCCCTTAAACGTCACTGCACCTCAAACAGGAATGCCACTGTCAAGCAAATAACAGAATGGGCTCAGGAATACTTCCAGAAAGCATTGTCAGTGAACACAATCCACCGTGCCATCCGCCGTTGCCAGCTGAAACTCTACAGTGCAAAGAGGAAGCCATTTCTAAGCAAGCTCCACAAGCTCAGACGTTTGCACTGGGCCAGGGGTCATTTAAAATGGAGTGTGGCAAAATGGAAGACTGTTCTGTGGTCAGATGAGTCACGATTTGAAGTTCTTTATTGAACACTGGGATGCCATGTCATCCGGACCAGAGAGGACAAGGATAGCCCAAGTTGTTATCAACACTCCGTTCAGAAGCCTGCATCACTGATGGTATGGGGTTGCATGAGCGCTTGTGGCATGGGCAGCTTGCATGTCTGGAAAGGAACCATTAATACAGAGAACTATGTTCAGGTTCTAGAACAACATATGCTCCCATCTAGACGTCATCTCTTTCAGGGAAGACCCTGCATTTTTCAACACGATAATGCCAGACCACATTCTGCAGCAATCACAACATCATGGCTATGTAGGAGAAGGATCCGGGTACTGAAATGGCCAGCCTGCAGTCCAGGTCTTTCACCTATAGAGAACATTTGGCGCATCATAAAGAGGAAGGTGCGACAAAGAAGGCCCAAGACGATTGAACAGTTAGAGGCCTGTATGACATGAATGGGAGAGCATTCTTATTTATAAACTTGAGAAACTGGTCTCCTCTGTCCCCAGACGTCTGTTGAGTGTTGTAAGAAGAAGGGGGGATGCCACACAGTGGTAAAAATGGACTTGTCCCAACTTTTTTAGGATTCGTTGACGCCATGAAATTTGTAAACAACAGATTTTTCCCTTAAAATGATACATTCTCTCAGTTTAAACTTTTGATCTGTGATTTCTGTTCTATTCTGAATAAAATATTAGATGTTGGCACCTCCACATCTTTGCATTCAGTTTTTATTCACAATTTTCATTTAGCCTTTATTTATCCAGGTTAGTCTCATTGAGCCACGAGAACTCATTTTCAAGAGAGACCTGTTTAGGGAGCACATGGTGGGGGTTAAGGGCCTTGCTCATGGGCCCAGAGTAGGGCGAATGAGGGTGGGGGCAAGTGTGGGTGTTTCACCTACCCCACCCACAATTTTGATGTTGTCGGGGCCGGGGCGTGAATTTGTTTAGTGTCCCAACTTTTTTGGAATCCGGTTTGTAGTTTAGTTTTTACATTTGAGCTGAGCGGTAATTTAGTTCAAGATTATTATAACTTTTTCCAATAAAACCTTATTTTTTATAATTAACAGTCATCATAGTCAGAAAATGTGTTTTTATTATTATTATTATTTGTTTCTGTTGTATTCATGTGAGAAACATCTTCAAGGTGTGGTGATGCCTTGAGACAAATTTCGCTTTAGAAAACTAAAAACCATATGCTGCGAACCTTTTAGATCTTTAATTTTAAGAAAACATGAAATGACATTAGACAAGGTTAATATCAGATTTTATGTTGGGATTATAGAAGAAGTGACTCCGATGGTGCATTCATGGTTCATTTCCCCCCCCCCTGATTTACAACACAAAGATGATTTCTTCCATGTATGCCTCAAAAGCATGCACACATATGATATGAGTTGCACAAAAACATAAAAAGCTGAAGAGCATCCAGCGCTCGCCCGTCTGAACAAAAGAGGCTGACGCTGCTCTCACAGTCAGCACATTAACACACTCAGGGCTCAAAGGCTCAGACAGCCTGCACCAAACTGAGAAAAACTAAAAAATGGAGACGAAGCTCAAAATTAATCACATCAAAACTAGTGGAAATGACAAAAAAAACGACAATTAAAGCCAAATAAATTATAAAGGGGCGGGTTGGTTTAATGTAGGTGTGTGTGTCAACAGAAAATTTCTGCTGATGGCAGTGACTGTCCCCGGTCCCCCTCCCAACCACAAAGGTGCTGAACACAAACAACAGACAGCCAGGTCAGCACGAATCATGCACGGATTAGCAGCGTGACCTTTGACCCAGCACTGTGTTCCCAACAGCTTGCAGCCAATGAAAAGCCACGATCCTAGCCCTGAACACTGGAGGTGAATGTATATATATATGTCCTCAATCACCAGGACGGCGTCCATCAGTCTCTCCAAAGATCGGTCCGTCTCAGGCTTCGCTTTCTGTAAGTGTCTGCTCTCAGGTCTTCTAACTGTCTCTCTATGAAATGTTTGAACGTAACGGGGAATGTTGTGGTTTACTCACTCAACGGACTGAAGGAAACAAGCGAGAAGTGACTTTTCTTTTAAAACTCCCAACTTTGGACTGAATCAGGGGATTGTTTACAGGACATGGAGCTTGGTTTGGTGCTAATTTGGCCCACAGAGATAAATTAATTAAGAAAATGAGGTATTTTAGCAAACATCTCTAGCGAAATCTAAATCTAGCAAAAACTCTGCGGGTTACACTCATCTCCAGGCCAGCGGTCACTCTTGTAGGGATGAAGATGTTCACATCCTTCAGAGGAACATTGGTTTGAGAGAGGAGTAAAGGAGGCCATCTTTGTGAAGAGAACATTAAACATTATTATCATTAAACAGGAGCGGAGGTCTCCACGTCCAGTTCTTACAGTGCTCTTACTGCTAGTATCACTCAGCCCTCTGTGAATCCATCAGAGCACTAACGATCGGTCGTTAGGCTGATGGTCCTCCTTTATCGTGTGAACAGCTAGTTTTGGATGTCTTACTGACATCTGCTATGTTCATGTCAATCAAAGTAAAGTTGAAAACAAAACTTTAAAAAGCATCACAATCCAAAAACAAAATATAGTGAGTTCTTAATCTAGGGTATTTTTTTAGATTGCAAAATTTTTGCTCAATAACAACCGTCCATCGATCCATCCATCCGTCCATCCATCCATCCATCCATCCATCCGTCCGTCCGTCCGTCCATCCATCCATCCATCCATCCATCCATCCATCCATTATCTTCTGATTGTTCTGGTGTCAGGTCGCAGGAGCAGCAGCTTGAGCGGGGAGGCCCACACATCTCTCCACGACCACCTCTTCCAGCTCTTCTGGGTGGACTCCAAGGAGTTCCCAGACCAGCCGAGAGATGTAGTCGCTCCAGATTTTATTCTGATTACCTCGCTGTTTGACATGTCTGGAAAATATCCCTAGGGAGGCGTCCTTGGAGCATTATTACCAAATGCTCAAACCACCTCAACTGTCTCCACTCAATGTATCTCTCCTTGATAACTGAACTTCTCGCTCTATCTCTGCCCTGCAGGGAAAACTCATTTCGACCACTTGTATCTGTAATCTTGTTCTTTTGGTCCCTACTCAATTTTTGTGACTATCAGTGAGGATAGGAACAAAGATCGACTGGTAAACAGCGAGCCTCACCTCAGCTTCCTCGTCACAAAAATGGACCGGCACAGAGTACACAATACTGTGGAAGATGCTGTCTTTTGATCTCAAGCTTCAGTCTTCCCTTACACTCGATCTGTACCTTGAGAAACCTGAACTCTTTCCTTTGAGGCAGCGCTTCACTCACAACCTGGACTGGGCAATCCATCCTTTTCCAGCTGAGGACCATGGTCTCAGATTAGGATGTGCTGATCCTCATCCCAGCTGTTTTACACTTGACTGTGAATCACTTTAGAGAGTGCTGGAGATCATGGCACAATGACGTTAACAGGACAGCATCATCTGCAAATAGCAGAAGCAGAATCTCAAGGCCACAAAAACTTCCTTAGCTAGTGTAGAGGGAACATATCTCTGTGAAGTATGTTATGAAAATTTTTTTTTATGAACTATTGTATTAATATAAAATTATCAATTGTATGTCAAAGTTCTGGGTTTAAGAAGCAGTTAATATTAATTTGGCGACATCTAGTGGCTAATCTGTAACATAGCAATGGCATGGAGCAAATAAAGTTCCTTAAGAAACTTTGACGGAGACTGTTACATGACTACCATTTTAAATGTATGATTTGGCTGCACTATATGTTGGTGATCGTAGCTCCCATCACCAAATTTCAGCTCACTAGGTCTAAAAATAGCTGATTTATAGATATTTCAAATTTGCTTTGATGGCTATCTGGATTTTATTTATTCAAATCCAGAATCTGTTGAGCATCGCTCTCAGCTATCATCCATCCATCCATCCATCCATTATCTTTACCCGTTTATTCCACTTTGGGTCACGGGGATCGCTGGTGCCCATGTCCAGCAATCACTGTGCGAGGGGCGGGGTACACCCTGGACGGGTCACAAGTCCATCACAGGGCCACACAGAGACAAACGAGACAAACAACCATTCACTCTCTCACTCACACCTAGGGACAATTTAGAGTTACCAATCAGCCTAACATGCATGTTTTTGGTCTGTGGGAGGAAACTGGAGTACCTGGAGAAAACCCACGCATGCACGGAGAGAACATGCAAACTCCACCCAGAAGGCCCCTGGACCGGGGTTTGAACCAGGGACCTGCTCGCTGAGAGGCAGCAGCTCTACTAGTTGCGCCACCGTGCTGCCGCTCTCAGCTACCACCACACTAAATTTCAGCTTAATATCTCTAAAAATATCTGATTTATAGCATTTTTTTATTTTTAGTTTAGGTGACCATTTTAGATTTCTGATTTACAATCAAAGTCTGTTAGGGATCAATCAGCTATCAGTACCTGTACAGAGTTTCATCTCAGTAGCTATAAAAACATCTGAGTTTTATTTTAAATTAAATGCGGTGGTCAGCTTGAATTTTTGATTAGCATTCAGAATTTATTGAAGGTTGTTGTCGGCTACTACAAAGTATTATAGACTACTAATTTTCAGCTTTATGTGTCTAAAATTGACTGTAATATATATATATTTTTTCAAATTAACATTTGCTCATAGCATAAAATTAAGATTAGCTTTCAGAATCTCATAGGGATTGCTCTTGGCTACCACCATACCAAATTTCAGTTTACTGGTAATATTACTACAAATGGCTGTGTTATAGCCATGTGAAATTAGATTTGGTGGCCAGTTTGGATTTTATATTTGCATTTAGATTTTGTTAAAGATTGTTCTCTGCTACTGCTACAGAAATTTTGTCTTTGTATCTTTAAAAATGGCTGAATTGTAGCTCTTTGTAAAATTCGCATTAGCAGTTAACTTAAATTAGGATTAGCAATCAGCATGCATTTGGGATACTTTTTGGTTACACCACAGCAAATTTTATCTCAATAAGTCTCAACATGACTGAATTATAGCCATTTGAAGTTAACTGTGATGGTCATCTTGAATTTTTGAGTAGCATTCAAAATTTGGTAAAAAAAAATTGGTTTGGGCTAATATCACTATACCAATTTTTGGCTTTGTATGTCTTAAAAATTAATGAATAACTGTTGTAATCGATGCTTAACTGTTGGCTTGAAATTATGATTAGCTTCCAGAATGTCTTAGCGATTACTTTTGGCTGCCACCGTACCAAAATTCAGCTCAACATGTCAAAAAATGACTGCGTTATGGCCAAAAACAGTGCAGTGGTAAATAAATATTTTGCTAGCAAACATTGTCGTCAATTTATCTTTGTTTTAGTAAAGCTAAATATGCAACTGAAGGCTCCTATAGCAGTAATCATTTGTGTTATCCTAAGCAGCTTTTATCACACTCATTTATTGCTCAGTTTGTGTAAAAAGTGCTCATTTACAGCTTCACAATTCTCTGAAGGCCTTCCTGTACTGTAGAACAGGCAGGCCCCAATAATAAAGAGCAGGAAACAGTAATGCACAGTTACGTTAAACAAGACAATAAAGGCTCTATGCGCTTCTTGTGATGTTTGACTGTTTTTTAAGACATCAACAATATATGCTTGTGTTATAATGTGAACGTGTCATCATAAGATGCTGTATGTAACAGAAATATAGTTTAAGATTGATTAACTCACACAAATTGATTACCGTCACTCCACCTGCCTTTTCCAACGTTGGTCAGATATCTATTTTTCCTTTTTTGTCTTAGAAAGATGCAAAAATATTGAAAGGAAAGGGAAATAATATCAGTGTAACTAGAGACTAGACAGTTATAAGTATGACAACACACAAAATGATGCTGAAGTTGGACATGGGATTTTGGGGGCAGATAATGAATCAGTTCAAATCCAAATTGGTGTTGCTTTCAAGAGAAACTTTGAATAAATATACAATTTTCTACCAAATAATCAAAATTTGACACGTAATTTTTGGTTTGTATTTTTTCCTTGGTAAAAACACATATTTTATAATATTGTGAACATTTATGGTAAATAAAATCTCAAGTGCGTTTCATGCATAAATCTCCTGTGTGCTTGAATTTGCTAAAAAAACAAAAAATGTACAGATTTTTAATTTGTAGTCAATGTAGAAGTGACAGACAGACACAAAGAGACACAAAGACACACAAAGGAAGATGCATATGGGTTATGAAAATTGTCAAAATGCCCCCCTAAAAAAACACCTTGGCCACCCCTTGCAAAAAGGCCCCTGAGTTCAGACCAACTCTCTTCCTTTCACAACTAGATGGAGGTAAACAAGCATCAGAAATGTTAAAAGCTACCCAAACAGAAAACCTTGGCTGAATGCAGAGGTGCGTACCCTGCTGGAAGCCAGGAACACTGCCTTCAGGTCTGGAAACTCAGAGGAGCTGAGTAGGACAAGAAAAGAGCTGGTTGCTGGTATTAAGAGGGCCAAGGCCACATATGCAAAGAGGATCGAGGGTCAATTCATCTCACAAGACCCTCGGAGCATGTGGAGGGGCATTAAGTCCATAACAGATTATAAAGGAAGGAGTGAACAATGCCCCAAAGACCCATCTCTGCCTGATGCCCTCAACAAGTTCTATGCACGCTTTGAAGACCCGAACAGACCACCCAGCACCAGACTCACCTCGCCACCGGATGAAGAGCATCTCAGCGTGACCTCAGCAGAAGTAAGGAGTACCTTCAGGAGGATTAATCCGCACAAAGCAACCGGCCCAGACAACATCCCCGGAAAAGTGTTGAAGGAATGTGCTGATCAGCTCTGTGAGGTGCTGACAGACATCTTTAACACCTCACTTACCCTGGAGACAGTTCCCACCTGCCTGAAGACTGCCACCATCATCCCAGTCCCAAAAAGCTCTACAGTGACTGGTCTGAATAACTATCGGCCAGTGGCCCTCACCCCGATAGTCGCTAAATGCTTCGAAAAACTGGTCATGACTCACATCAAAACAACCATCAACATCAACGAGGACCCTCATCAGTACGCATACCGTGAGAACCGATCAACAGAGGATGCCATCTCCTCTGTGGTCCACACTGCGCTCTACCACCTGGAGCAGAAAAACTCTTACGTCCGTATGCTCTTTGTGGACTTCACATCCGCCTTCAACACCATGATCCCCCAAACCCTGATGGACAAACTGTCCACACTAGGACTAAGCCCCTCCATCTGCAACTGGGTACTAGACTTTTTAACAAACAGACCACAGTTAGTGAGGATCCACAACCTCTCCTCCTCCACCATAACCCTCAGCACTGGCTCTCCTCAGGGATGTGTGTTGAGCCCCCTTCTGTTTACTCTGCTCACATATGATTGTGCAGCTACCCATCCAGGCTGTCACATTGTAAAGTTTGCAGATGATACAGCGGTGGTGGGATGCATCACAAACAATGATGAGTCCAGCTACAGGCAAGAGGTGGAACACCTGGAGAGCTGGTGCAGAGAGAATAACCTTCACATCAATGTGAAGAAGACAAAGGAGATGATTGTGGACTTCAGAAGGAACAAAAACACCTATACCCCCCTGAACATAAGAGGATCTGTGGTGGAAGTGGTCTCCAGCTACAAGTACTTGGGTGTACACATGAATGACAACCTCAGCTGGAGCAACAACACCACCAGCCTGATCAAGAAAGCTCATCAGAGACTCTACTTCCTCAGACGGCTGAGGCGAGCTGGTCTGGGAAGCTCAGTCCTCACCTCCTTCTACAGGTGTGCCGTGGAGAGCATCCTGTGCTCCAGCATCAATGTGTGGCATGGAGGCTGCACAGCTGCAGAAAGAAAAGCTTTGCAGAGAGTGGTGAAGGCTGCACAGAAATCTGTTGGAATCAGTCTCCCCACCATCACAGACATCTACACCTCCAGATGCAGGAAGAGGGCCACCTGCATCATGAAGGACCCCACCCACCCAGCACACACACTTTTTGCCCCACTCCCCTCAGGAAGGAGGTTAAGGAGCATTAAGTGTAGAACCACTAGACTGAGGAACAGCTTCTACCCTGAGGCTGTTAGACTCATGAATCTCTAACTAGAATAATCACTGTGAAAAACCATATCATGTTGCTGCTGATCTGTTTCATGTTGCTGCTGATCTGTTTCAATGTTGATGTGTTCATGCGTGCACATCTGCTCACAGACTCATGTTCATGTTTGTGCTGATGTTCAATGTTTTATGTTATGAGTGCTTAGTGTATATTTAGTTGATGTTTTTCTTAGTTCATATCTTAGATGTTATTACTGTTTTTCTTAGACATTTTATTGTTGGATGTAACTGGGACCCTGTGTACATAATTTCGCTCCACCACATGTACCCCATGAGGTGCGAATGACAATAAAGAAACTCTGACTCTCTGACTCTGACTCTGACTCTGATCAGTAATGACTCCCTTGCATAAGAATTTAAATATTTTAGCCACCAGATTATAAAACATACTTTGAAAAAAAATCCCAAAAAGTTCCAATTGAAAAAAAAAAAGTTTAATCAAAGGATATTCAGATTGATGTAATACTGATAAATGGTACACAAACGCCTGTTCTTAGACTCTTTAATTATTGGAGCATCGTACTCAAACAAACACTACTGGATTGAAGTACACGATGGTATTCAGTTGTAGTTACGCTCTTCGAGACATTCAAGTTTGGTTCATTAACTTTGTGATTCTCCTCTTTAGATCCGATCATGTCTCACTCAGGTGCTCAGGGCAGCATTGGCAGCCATTCCGCCATAGGACTTCGCAACAACAAGGTACTCCTCCTGCGAAACGAACAACAAAATACGAAGGGATCAGAAATACTCAGTCTCAATAAGCAACATTTTTGATTTTCTCAATTTTTTCCAGATATACCTCTATGAGTATGAGAACTTCCAAGGCCGTAGAATGGAGCTGTTTGGAGAGTGCCGTAACCTGTGTGAGAAAGGTTTTGAAAGGATTGGCTCCATCAGGGTAGAATGTGGACCGTAAGCAACCAAATCTGACACGCACGTGTATGTTACAGCGCAACACGTGTTTACCTGAGCTAAATAAAATGTCTCTCCTCCCGATCTGCTCAGCTGGGTGGGTTACGAGCAGCAGGACATGACTGGTGAGATGTTCATGCTGGAGAAGGGAGAGTACCCCCGCTGGAATACCTGGTCCAACAGCTACAGGTGTGACCGCATGATGTCCGTCAGACCCGTTCGAATGGTACTTATTTTCTCAAGTTTTCAATTCTCCTACTTTACTCGGCATATGCAGAAAAACAGCTTGAAAAGTGGCCTTTTCGTTTTTCTTTTTTATTTATTTATTTATTTTTAGGATGCCCAAGACCACAAGATTTGTCTGTATGAATGTACAAACTTTGAGGGTCGTAAGATGGAAGTGTGTGATGAGGATATTCCAAGCTTGTGGTCTTACGGCTTCCAGGACCATGTTGGCAGCATTCAGGTCACAGGTGGAACGTAAGTAGCTGTATCTGAGCTGTTTTATCAAGCCAGTCCTTCAAAGTAAGAGCTCAGATCTTTTGTAGTGTTTCATTGAGGAAAGCTTTAGCATTTTACCACATATGTGTATGTATATATTATTAATATATAAATTATATATATATATATATATGAGAAAATTAAGTTACCGTTTTGTCATGACCCCTTTTATTACAGTACAGCTTTTCTCACTTTATACACTTTAGTCTTGGCTAAACTCAGACTAGTCATTAGCTCATCAATCCAACCAAAATTAAACTATATTTTTCCAAATGTATGCCATTCATTGAGTTTACTGCCGGTAAAATATTTAATTATAACCTTTTCACATAATATTTTGACAAGACTTGAGCTTTCCCTTTAAGAAAAAAAAAATCTGCTGGAAGTTTGTCAAACCAGAACATGCAAAACATGAGTAACTGCAAAAAACTTGGGATTTTCTGCACATTTTACTTTTGCTGCCTTGAAAAATAGATTCATCAAAAGATTTTACAAGTTCGTAAACACGAAAAGGTGATTGTGTCAATCCTAATAATTTTTTAAAATAAATCCACACCATTTAATGTTGCTAAACTTTTATAGCTGCATGTTTATCGGCTTCTCTGCACCTCTTCACACAGCTGGGTGGGCTACCAGTATCCTGGCTACCGTGGCTACCAGTATGTGCTTGAAATGGGTTCTTACAAGCATTGGAACGACTGGGGGGCCCACCACCCTCAGATCCAGTCCATCCGCAGGGTGAGAGACATGCAGACGCACCGTCGAGGCTGCTTCGAGCTGACCCCCTAGACGAGTCCAGGCTGAAAACCGGAGGAGCTCAGCATCGTCACAACTCTGTTCAAAAGACCACTTAGTTAAAGGCTTTTAGAAATTGTTACATTATTTATAGGTAACTTTAAAAAAAAACCATTTTAAACATGTTGGACACTAAAAAACTGCATGGGACAAAAAAAAACAACAACTTCTATTACAATAGTTACAGTACCTTCTGTCCACAAGTCCCATAAAAAGATTATATTTTTGATTAGGAGTTTGATTATTGGACATTAATAAGTGTTTATCAGTTTGATTCTACTTTATTTACAATCAAACCTTTTATTTTTATTTTACCTATGTGTTTCTAGCAGAAGTGATGCCAATATGCCTTTTCAGAGACTTTAAGGAGTAAAGTGATACTAGCGCTCAAAAAGCACCACCATGGACAGCTCTTAGATCTGCAATGGGGTTCAAGAATCAGGAGGAGGCAACGTGTCCTCATCAAGCCTGACGGAACAACCCAACAGTCATCAAAACAGCACTAAGAGTTGTGTTTTACGAAAATTTGAATCTGTCTGTCCATAAATTCTGCTTTTTACACTTTCTCAGGGATGCTGGCATCTGGGAAGCAACTTTTCAATGGAAACGAATCAAAATACAAAAAAATAAACTAATAAATAAAAAAAACGTAAAACATAGTCTTTGATTTATTTCTTGTGGGTTTATTTAAGTGTCACAATGTTTCATCCATCCATACATCCATTATCTTTACCCGCTTATTCCATTTTGGGTCCCGGGGGTCGCCGGTGCCCATGTCCAGCAATCACTGTGCGAGGGGCGGGGTACACCCTGGACGGGTCTCCAGTCCATCACAGGGACACATAGAGACAAACAAACATTCACTCTCTCACTCACACCTAGGGACAATTTAGAGTTACCAATCAGTCTAAGATGCATGTTTTTGGTCTGTGGGAGGAAACTGGAGTAACCGGAGGAAACCCACGCATGCACGGAGAGAACATGCAAACTCCACCCAGAAAGGCCCCTGGACCGGGGTTTGAACCAAGGACCTGCTCGCTGAGAGGCAGCAGCTCTACCAGTTGCGCCACCGTGCTGCCCTGCCACAATGTTTCAATACAGTTTTAGTCTTATTAATGAACATAACTAAATAAATTAATAATGTCTGTCTATCTGTCTGTTAGCAAAACATCTCATGAATTAAAAAAAAAGTTAAAATTATGTCATCTGGACCAGTTTCTTTAAGCAAGAAGCGTTTTGTCCCCCATCCAGAGGACTTCCTCAGTCTACGACCTGTCAACCAGATCTGTCCCATAGATAGCCTTCTGTCCCATAGATAGCCTTCATTACTGTGTTTCAAGACAACCTCCTGTTGGAATCTCAAAAGCAGGCTTTTAACACGTGCAAACAGGGCACACCCATCCAAAACAATCAATCATGAACAGTAATCAAATGTTTTAGGCCAGATGACCAACTTGCTATACACAGAAAGAGCCTGAGGACAACCAAGGCCAAAGTGGTTCAGAAAAAGGGTTGTAAGCTCAATCATCCAGGTAGAAAACAACAAAAAAAGGTTAAATTGTGTCTAGTTTCTTTAAATGAGAGACTTTTCGTCCCATATCCAGAGGACTTCCTCAGTCTACGGCCTGCCAACCTGATCTGTCCCATGTAGCCTTCACTGCTGTTTCAAACCAACTTCCTGTTAGAATCTCAAAAGTAGGCATTTAACACGTGCAAAACACATATTTTCATTTAAATTAACTGGTCCAGATGACACGATTTAACCTTTTTTGTTGTTTTCTGCCTGTATGATTGCGCTTACAACTCTTTTTCTGAACCACGTTGGCCTTGGTTGTCCTTAAGCTGTTTCTGTGAGTAGCAAGTTGGTCATCTGGCCTAAAACATTTGATTGTTGTAAATGATGATCAATTGTTTTGGATAGGTGTGTTTTGTATGTGTTAAAAGCCTGCTTTTGAGATTCCAACAGGAGGTTGTTTTGAAATACAGCAGTCTATGAGACAGGTCTGATTGGCATGCCGTAGACTGAGGAAGTCCTCTGGATGGGGGACGAAACGTTTCCCACTTAAAGAAATTGGTCCAGATGACACGACTGAACCTTTATTGTTGTTATCTACCTGGATGATTGAGCTTACACTTTGTCTCATGAACTACTAAATGATTTTATAAAGAACCTCAGCAAGTAATCATTGGGTGCGTATCAGCTGATTAGCGTTTGGGATCAATATTATTCAATATGGCCACCCCAGCTAATTAGCACAGCAAACCCCAAAACTCCAACAAATCAGTCAATTTTACCGATTTTGAGCTAAAGTTGGGTACAGTAGCTCAGAGTCATGCCAAACCCACACTCTAAAATATCATGCATGGTGAAAGGATTTACTCAATACCCAGATAACCAGTGCCAAAAGGAACAATTCCAAGACAAGAAAATAACAGTGTTCATTTACAAAGTGAAATCAACAGTTGACTGCAACTCAACTGGGAGAGACTGGAACCCTGGAGGGTAAGGACCAGAGTTAAGATGATGGAGTCCTTGAGGATGGCTCAAGATATAGTTTGTCTCTTACTGTTGGAGGAAAGGGTCATCACGAGTTGTAGGAGTATAAATGGCAATTGATGACTACAATTTGACGTTTGTGCATTATTTGCCCACTGTATTGACTCCTGTGTTCCTACTGTGCCCCAGACCTCCTTGGTTTCATTGTGAAGCTGATGTGATCCCTGCAGTCGTTCCTTGCCTTTCAGCACATGCCCACGAATCTATACAACCTTTCTGGGACCTCTTCGTTTGTGACTACTGGAACTATTGGACCCTCACCCATGTTAGGAGAATGGTCCACAGGTGTGGGCTTGTTGGCGCCATCTGGTGTCATGGAGCTGGAACTGGTCAGCTAATAACTTCAGCTCAAAAAGAGCCAAAGCTATACCTCATTAACTAGCAAGCTGTCAACTAGATTAGCCTATAACTAGCAAGCTTTTAACACGCTACAAATTCTCTAGTTATTAGCTAGCTAGCATCTTAAGCTGAAAGTGAAAGTAACAAAAGGTATAACTAAGTATCTAACTATCAACTTCCCTGGACACTAGTTAAATTTAAATCTAGCTAAAGAGCTAGGTGTTGACTTAAGCTGGAAAGTGTAATGTTTAGATTAATACCTAGATAGTAAATGACCAAGAGCAGCATCTCTAACATCAGAGGCAGATTTAACAGTGTTTATTTTCAGCAAGTGAATAATTCAACAGTATGAAGTAAATCGGCAGGCCGGGACTAGAACTCCTGAACATCAAGGGACAAAGTTAGTTGGAGACCTTGGATCCTGAGGGATGCTTTGAAGTTCAGCGTTTCTCTTAGTGGTGACAGGTAAGGTCATCACAGACGAAGTCCCAAAAGGTTCCAGCGGTGAGGAGCAAGGAAGTTTCAGAAAGGGTCAAGTGGTGGAAGACAAGGAACGGCTGGAGAGATCACGAGGAGGCTTTAGGAGAAACCAGGGAGATCCAAGGCACAGGAGGACACAGGAGTCAGAGCTGCAACACATGAGGAATAGAGATTAGTTTTCACAAATCACAAGTAATAATACAGAAAGCAACAGAATTACCGATTGGCAGATACAGCACCAGCATCGGACTGAAGTCATCTACTGCCGTATATGCTCCTGCAGCTCATCAGTGGAATGGTCCTCAGGTGTGATCTTGTTGGCGCCCTCTGGTGTCGGAAAAACTGCAGGAGAAAAGCTGGAAGTCCTACAGAAAGTAGCTAAAGCTGTATCTAATATTAGCTAAAAACTACCTAAAGTTATTAGCTAGTCAATAATTTTCTAGTAGACTGTGATAGTTTTACTGTTAGGTAAAGTTAATTATGTTAAAAAATACTGGAATATAAAATAGAGTTTTAGCACAAACAAGGTGCTTTCTTCTTTCGGCAACAAGTGCCATCCTTGTCGCCCGCAGCCAATAATGATAATTTTTTATATATATTTTTTTTTTTTCATTTACCCTTTATCTAATTCCCAAAATGTCCCCCGGGCGCTTTCAATAGCTGCCCACTGCACCACCTGGTGGTGGATGGGTTAAATGCAGAGACTAATTTCGCCATTGTATGGAAACATACAGTGCTGACATTGTGATGACATTATTATTATTATTATTTATACAGGTAGTCTCATTGAGCCACGAGAACTCGTTTTCAAGAGAAACCTGTTTAGGGAGCAGATGGGGGAGGGGTTAAGGGCCTTGCTCATGGGCCCAGAGTGGGGCGAATGAGGGTGGGGGCAGGTGTGGGTGCTTCACCTACCCCACCCACATTTTTGATGTTGTCGGTACCGGGGCTTGAACGGGCGATCTTCCAATCACAGGCCCACCTTCTCTAACCTCTGCACCACCACTCCCTCCTCTTTAGATGTGAGCCAGACTGGGAGTGGTGGCGCAGAGGTTAGAGAAGGTTGGCCTGTGATCGGAAGATTGTCGGTTCAAATCCTGGTGCCGACAACACCTGCCTCCACGCCCTATTCTGGACCCTTGCTCAAGGACTCTTAACCCCATCATCTGCTCCTCCGGGGGCCCTAGATATCAGCTCTCTGCTCTACACAGAGGACTGTGGTAGCTTGGTCTGTGGTTGCATCAGGATGGGCATCTGGTGACTGAATTTGCTGAAGAAGGGAGCAGCTGAAAGAAGAAGAAGATATGAACCAGATGAACTTCGCCTCCGTCCTGTGAGGACCTGCAGGGTAAAAAGCTCAGTCCTGCAGCAGATGAAGGGGCACCACGCTCGGTTTAAAGCAGATTTGGATTAAAACAGCTTGGGAGAGCTGACAGAGAGAGAGAGAGGGAGGGAGAGAGGCTGCTTCTTATTTTTCCTCCATCTAGAGAAGGTTTGTTCCAGCAGCGCGCGACCAAAGCTCGTTTCTGCGGCGACGCCAGGAGCATCGGTCCAAGGAGGAGGAAGAGGAGGAGGAATAAATCAACAGCTTCGCTTCGTGGCTCCGAGCAGCTTCTGCTGGACATGAAAGTGCAGCAAGGCAGCAACTCATCGGACATGGGGATCCCGGTGAAAACCGAAGAGGAGCTGCGCAGGAACACCGTCATTACACCTGAGGACGTGCTCGGGCTGCAGAAGATCACCGAGCGTGAGTAACACATGGAGGAGTGAGAGGGAAACATATCAAACTGGTTTCTTTTTCTTTTTGTTTTTGCCTGCTCGAGCTGTAGTCCACCATGGACAGCGACAGACAGCTTTAAATAAGACTGTCCACTTTGAACCAGTCCGCATTTAAGGTTTATCCTTAAATCCACTTTAGACTTCTGAGCGACGCAGCATTGTTCCACTAAGTCTATACTGTGTGCTTTTTTTTTTAAAGCCACATAACAGATAGTATACCAAAATATTAAGTTAAATGTTGTACAAAAGTCCTGGGTCATGACTCATTTCTTGCATAATTCTTTGAAAGTGGTCTTAATCAATGTTCTCCAGGTTTTTAAAAGATCTTTCAAAGTTTTTTTCTTGAACATGTATTTCTTTTATGGGTCATTTTAGTCTAGTGCCTGAGCATTTTCAAAGAAAATAGCCTATTTTTTAGATTTGCTAAGCAACTTCAATCAAATGTTCTCTGAACCATCCAAGCATTAACAAAGCCCCTTAAACTAAAGGAACGTACCAGTCAGTGAATGTTTTTTAATCCTAACTAGCTAAACGTATAACAATCCAACAAGCCAGCTATTTACCTTAACAAATACCTTTAGGTGGAAACTACCGGTAAATGTATAATTAGTTAACTAGTTAACAATTAACTTTACCAGGAAACTAATTAAGGTTATAACTAGCTAAACGGACAGCAAATAACCTGTATAAATAAAGGTTGAATGGATTAATACACCTAAGAAGTGATATTCATATATTTACATTATCTATTTCCAGCTTTATGTCTATATTAGTTTTCCAATTGCCAAAAAGCATTAAGTTTGTCTTAATTAAATAAAGATATAACTTATTTTTAATGACCCAATATTTTAATTTACTAATTTCCCTATAAGCATTTCTAATGCTGCAGGTTGTCCCCAGTCCACAAAAACAATCATCTTCAGAAATTTAGACACCTTAAAAATATAATTTATGTAAATTATAAACAGTTTTGACCCAAAAACAGACCCTTGTGGGACACCACAAGTAATGTCCAAGCATGATGACCTGTGGTTTCCCATTTTTGTAAGTCATTGAAAATTCCAATGTAACTTGTCTTCTGTCCATACCTGTAGGTTAATATTAGCTATAAACAGCTAGCTAAATAGCTAGGTATTAACCCTAGCTGGATAGCTGAAGATATATGTACCGGTAGCTAGCCATTAACATGACATAGAAAGAAGCTAAAAGTAATAACTAGTCAATAACTTGCCAGTAAACTGACAAAAACACGATTTTTAGGTATGTTTATTTTTAAAAAATACATGTAAAAAATTTACAATAATAGAGTTATTAGCTAAAAATCGCAAATAATGAAATAATAGGTTGTTTATATATGATCATTGCTGGATATTTTTCTGTTTATTAAAGATTTTCAGATATTCTTCATTTGCTGCAGATAGTTATTTTAAGACTGACACTTTTTGTTTATTTTCATCATACTTGTATTGCCATAAGGCTTTTTTTGTTGTTGTTGTTGTTGTTTAGGAACACAAACATCTGAAAATACTTTCAGAAAACATGAATAACTATGGGTCAAAACCACTTTAAAATGTTTTTTTGCGCAGTCCTATATGATCTGAATTTCCTCTCAGATCATCCTGGGGGGAAAAATGTCTGACTCTTACTGACTTCAGCTCAGCACCAGCATCTCTGAGGTAACAGGTGGCCTGGGATGCAATGAACTAATTATGGCTTGTTGAAGACAGCTGCACCAAAAACAAGTTGAGCTACCCTTTTACTATGTTGCTCATATAAAGTAAAGTGTTTTGACACTTAAGTATTTCCCATTATCATTTTCAAAACTGAGATATCTGGAAATAACTGTAACTTACACCTTTATTAATTCAAGCTGTCAGTATAGAAGTAAACAGTTTTGTCTCATGGTATGCAGTATACATTTTCATTTTTGGGGGAACCAATTTGTTTTGGACTTAGTGCTGTCCTAAAAACTGCTTTCACTGAAAAATCAGAATTAAACTAGTTACACAATGGAAACATAATCCACCAGAATGAGACATTGTTAGCTATTTCATTAAAAAAAGAGTAAAATACACTCTAATTTTATTTTATAATTTATATTTGATTTTAGTTTTAAATTATGATTTTGAACATTTAATGGGGAAAAAAGAAGCAGAACGAGCAAGCAAAACTCAAAATATTAGCATAGAAATAACCAATTCAATTTAGTTCAGTTTATTTATATAGCACCAAGTCACAACAGAAGTTGTCTCAGAGCACTGTACAGAAAAATTCACATACATTATAAAAGCCACTTAGTAAAAGTTATCTATCAGGAAGCCAGCAGATTGTGCTGAATCTTCACTTTGTCACAGTCTCTCATTCTGAGCAAGCACAAAGGCAACAGTGGAAAGGAAAAACTCCCTTTTAACTGGAAGAAACCTCCAGCAGAACCAGACTCAGGACGAGTGGCCATCTGTTTCAACCGGCGAAACAAACAAACAAAGAATGACAGGTCCAGGTGTACTTTCTGTTGGGGGGGGGGGGTAAGCTCGTTAAGGATAGAAATAATTACAAATTCAAACAGGTTGAGTAGAGCAAGTAAAGACAAGAGCAGAGCATGTGGTCAATTTATCCTCCAGCAATCTAAACCTATAGCAGCATAACTAAAGGTCAGCTCAGGAAACCCAAGCCGACCCTAATTATAGGATTTATCAAAAAGGAAAGACTTAAGCCCAGTTTTAAAACTGGACAATGTGTCAGTCTCATGGACAGAAACTGGAGGGTGGTTCCACAAGAGAGAAGCCTGATAACTGAAAGATCTTCCTCCCGTTCTACTTTGGGAAGCCCTAGGAACCACAAGTAAACATTTAGTCTGAGAGTAAAGTGCTCTGTTAGGAAAGTATGGAACAATAACATATGTAATATATGATGGAGGTTGAGAGCTTTGTTGGTTAGAAGTAAGATTTTGAAGTCAATTCTGGATTTGACAGGGAGCCAGTGGAGAGAAGCTAAAACTGGAGAAATATGATCTCTCCTACTAACTCTCATTAAGACTCTGGCAGCTGCATTTTGGATCAACTGAAGACGTTTTAAGGAAGTTTTTGTACACCCAGATAATAAACCATTGCAATAGTCCAACCTAAATGTGATAAAAGCACGAACCAGTTTTTCTGCATCATGGTGGAGGGAAACGGTCCTGGTAACTTTTTTAAAGTGATGGGTCAAAAGACATCCTGTTCAAAAATAACACCAAGGTTTTTAATATTAGAACTGGAGGCCAGATTAATGCCATCCAGAGGAAGTGAAAGGCTGTAAAGTTTATTCCTAAAATGCTCAGGTCCAAAAACCACAACCTCTATCTTGCTTAGTTTAAAAATAGAAAATTAAGGATCATCCAGATTTTTATGTCTTTAAGAGAAGCTTATAACTTAAGTCACTCATTGGGTTTCATGGACAATTTTAACTGTGTATCATCAGCATAACAATGATTATCTTATATGTTAGCAAACTATCTCTCCAAGTTAAATAAAACCCATGTCTGATCATTTTCATCCATTTGTGAAGTTTTGAGCAATAAAGTTTAAAATCAGAAGAAGACAGCAAAAATAAAAATATGTTTGTTCTAACAGTTTCTTCTTTTTTTAATTCACTAAACTCTTTAGAAGAAAATCTCCAGAGTTTGCATCAGTGCAATAATTCCCTCATGATGGCGCATTAATCTCTGCTCTCATGTAATCTGGATTACGTCAAAATGGCTGTAACACGTTTTGTAATGAACTGGTACTCGTGGCTAATTAGTGACTCCAAATAAAGACCTAACATTCCTTGAAGGAATGCATATCACCCGTCATATGTGATGACAGCAATATAAACTGAGATTATCTGATGTTTAGAAATACTGAAGCCATAGCCCATTTAGTCAAACCTTGAAAATGTCCTGTACTTTACTACACAATCTCACATGATCTGTTAGCACTTAGAATATGTGCTGTGAATGATTGTCAGCTACTACAACACCAAGTTTTAGCTTTATATGTGTAACATTTGCTGAGCTTTAGACATTTTTGTGCAGACAAATGTACACACACACTCAAAAACATTATTACTCCGCCATTGCAATAAGATATTAGTTGAAGCTTTAAGAAATGTAGAGCTAGTCTCCCTTCTTCATTTACTGGATATCTTCACTAATGAAGATTATCTTTGTAATCTACCTTCAACTATTGGTTAAATCACAAGTAATTTTCAAAAAGCTGAAAATCACAACGTCACGGTACAAAACCAGAACCACAACATGGAGCTCCAGGTTAGCTTTCAGCTGTTCTGTACAACATGAAGTCAGCCTGTTTTCCACAGAGGTGAAAGTGTCAGTCAGTTCAGACGCTGATAGAAGAGAAAGAGCTGCGACAAAAATTAATGGCTTTTCCATTTTTTGCTTCTGGAACGTAAACGCCACATTTATGAAGCAGCTTGGATTCATTAAATCATGCTTGGTTCCAAATTCTCACTTAGAGCAGGTAATCCAGGGGATAGAAAGCTCAACAGTGCCACAAAAGGAAGGTAACTATATCTATGTTCGTGTGTGTTCCTTTCTCTGTCTATTAGCAAAATATATCAGGAACCAATGTGAATTAAGTAATGCATCCCCACAGCTAACAACTGTGTAATCTTACACAAACTGGGGTTACATATTGTGATCATATTTTTTGAAAAATCAAAGTATTTTTCTTAAAAACGTTCCACTATAGCTGATATTACTGTTTCCCCCGTTTTAGAGCATTTGTGGGTTAATTTTGTTGGTAATACTTGTTTACTTGTTGGTTTTTTCCTGTTTTCCCTGCCCTCTACATGTAACGGTAGATTTCCATGTAAGTGCACTTGAACGCAGCAGCAAAAGAAAGCAGAATAATGCCTCCATGAATATAAACGACACACTTCACACAAACTCCAGCGGCCCAAAGGGGCAGGAGACGCCACACTGAACGT